AATGTCATTTGCCATTAGAGATACCTTCTTAAGATCTCCTACCCACTCACTGTCATTCGGCACCTCTGTCAATTTCATGCCAGCTTTTACCATATATCCACATCCAAGACCAATGCATTTGATAGCCATGTCTCTCACAACATCATGCATCTTAAAAACTTCTTCAGAAGAACTATTAACAGTTTTCTCTAACAAGCAGTTCTTTTCCAGCATATTTAAAAAACCATGACCCCTATCATAAACTTCTTTTCTTCCCGACCCATCAATCAATCCTTCATCAATCCAACCATCTATCAACTCCTTTCTATAAAACTCATAATCTTCTTGGAACAAGGAGCAATAAAGAAAACATTTTTGGATTTGCAAACTTCTTAGACGGTCGTAACTAAATTTTAACCGCCTAAATATCATATCCTCCTCAACTTTCACACTCTTTACATTCTGGCGTAATTCATTTAGTGCATTTCTCCACTCTATAATGTCTTTTTCTCCCCTCATGCACCCTGCTACTACAACAATTGCCAGCGGTAAACCGGCGCACTCCTTCACAATAAGCTTCAAAATTTCTTCCAATCCTGCAACTTGTAAAACATCATGTCCAACCCTATTGAGGAATAGATTTAAAGACTCCCCTGGTGAAAGAGGCTGCACTTTAACAATCTCACAACCCCAAAAATTGCATACAGCAACCGATCTACTGGTGACAACGACTTTGCACCCATTCTGGAGTGTCGGTTTTGGGATTCCAACATCAGTCAAAGAAAAATTTTCCCATACATCATCTAATATTAGCACAAATCTCACTCTTCCCATCATCTTCATTAGTGCTGCAGCCCGCACCATTTCTTCATCTTCTGGAAGTGTTCTGCCCATAGCATGTGCAATCTTCTTTTGTAGTTCTAAAACATTGAGAGGATATGATACAGTAACCCAAATCACTTTCTGAAATCTACTCTCTGTCTGCAAATCATTGTTAACATGCTTCATGATTGTAGTCTTACCAACTCCACCAATACCACAAACCCCAATCATTCCAACTTTATTGCCCATCAAGTGCTCCCAAATTTCATCTTTTGTAGAAATTTCACCCTCTAAATTTTCTGTTGGAATTACAATTCCACAAGCTGGAGCTCTCCCAATGCCAAGGCCTCCTTCGAAAATGTGCCTCTTTCGAATCCTCTTCACCTCTTTAATAGTTTTACGCACATCTTTATCAAGACTGGCACGTTTGTAGTATGGAACTGTGCCTACTCTTTCTT